ACGTATGACTGTTATGATTTCTAAATGACTGATATGACATGAAATATGAGACATTGATTGAATAACTGATCTATAGATGCAATTGACTGTTTTAATTACTAAAAGGATATCCATTCTTAACCCCTTTACACATTTGTTATTCACTGCGCTTTAGCTCACAGTTTATTATATGTGTAAGTGGTCAGGCACTGGAGCAAAGTTAGTAGCGTTGACCTGAACCCGTTTTGTCAAGCTAATCTATTATGCCTCACTGCGAGGTTTCGAACTGCTAATGTTAAGGCTTGTTTTTGGGTGCTCTTATATGAAGTCAAGTGAATGTTGTATAAATCGTTTTGGTTTTGGGATTTAATTTCCTAACATCTGTTTTATTTATTTTTTTGTATATAACATCTTATGGACTTAAGTGTTTGTGCATATATCAGTATGTGAAACTTGTGTTACTCATTTAAGTCCTCACAGTTATTTGGACATTTTATTTTAATATTTACAGGCTTCCGCTAGCCTCTTTATTGTACAATTGTTATTACTGGGCCTTTAGTAATCACGAATTGCTGGCCAATTACGATGCTAAACCCTTAGGGGCGGGTTTGGGTCATGACACCCTTAGTAGAGAGGTGTATTTATAGGCCAGGAGATCCTTGCTCCGCATTTCCCTTAGGAATTACGGAGATGGCACCTTCTCATATGCATAGGGACCATCTTCTAGAAATTACTCTATTTGTCACAAAAGTTAGCAAAACATGTCTGACCATATCTTTAGTGTACGGGCGTGCACTAAAGTTGTACGACTGGTCATGTTTTGTAGGCCAAGGTTAGGATATGGTGCATATAGGATATTTCCAAAGGGTTCTCCTCTTTTCTATTATCATAAAATTTATTTTACCATTAAAGAATGATTGCCTCATTGGCATAATATTTAAAAAAAAAAATAATATTTCAAGGTGACAATTTTAATGAGAACTTAAAATAACTTAGTCTTTATTTGGCATTTAGCTAAAAATATCACTCTTTTTTTTAACTTTTTTTATTTTCAGTGATTTGTTTTTAATTTTTCATTTCATCTAGTGTGGAAGATCTAAAAAGTTTTAAATATATATAAATATATATAATTTAGAAAAAAAATTCACTAAAAACAAAAAAGGCAACTATTTTTTTACAGTCTTTGTCTTTAGTATTTTTTTTTTTCAATTTTTATATTTTTTTAAAATTTTTTGGTTCTTGCAAAATTGGTTGTTTTGAGTGTTTTATGAATATTTCTTGGTTTAGATTTCGTTTATGGCCATTGAATGTCTTTTTGTGAAAACATATGATTTTTGGATGGAAAGATGGCTTTATTCATTGAATCTAAACTAAGTGGTGTTTATTTATCCAAACATCTAGTTTTAGACTGAAATTAAGTTTGGCATCCTCCAAAAAATCCAAAAAGTCAAAAAGTCACTATCCTATTTAAGTCACATCATCTTATTTAAGTCACATCACCTCTCTAACACATCACTTCAAATCCAACCCAAATCCAACCCATATTTCATAAAAAGTCAAAAAGTGCACTTATTTAGTCTTCCCAAACTTGACCTAATGGTTTTTAGGGTTTAATAACGAATTTTGTGGAACAATTAAGCTCTAACCTCATAAAATAGAATATTAGTAGAGGTCAATCTTTAAATTGAGCAAAAAAATGTGCATCATTCAAAGCCTTTTCCTTTTGTACCTTAATTCCTGAACCTAGATTATTTGGTTGTGAAGTCTTTTGCTTAATTTTCATTGTTAAAGGTTTCTTAATTTCCTAAAATTAAGCGGTGACTTTATCAATGTGAGAAAGCGAGTTGGTACAATATGAGTGTGGAAACGCACCTTATACCCAAAATAGGCACGATGTCCACACCTAACCAAGTAAATAGGGGTTGTTACTGGAGTTTGATTTGTGTAATAGTTTGAACAAGTTGTATGGATGTTGTCGAAGTTTTTAAAAACATTTTTTTTTTAAAATCTCCTTAAGTGTTTTACTTTCTATAATTGTTGAATACTTTTGATACAATTATTTTCTTTGCGTTCATGTTCAAAGTGTGAGATGTCATGTTATGAGAGACGAGTGATGTTGTTACTTAGTTTAGAACAAACGACTCACATTACTTGAGATGATTTGTACTTATACGTTGAACTCGACAAGCTTTTGTATCAATGTTTCAAGCTTATAATTGTGAAATATTTAGTGGTTCAAACTATATCGCAATCAATTCCCGATTTTAAACCCTATTTATGTAACTAGTGGTTGATTCATTACCTTAAATCAAGTTCTCAACCTCAATATTTATTGTTAATTTAATTTCTAATTGTTATTTTAATTCTCACTTCAATTTAATATTCATTTAGGAATTTTACAATTTAAATTGGTTTAATCTTACAATTGTCCCTATGGATCGATATCTAAACTAACCTTTGTTTTGTAAAATTAGAATTCAATCTAGTCTTTATTTTTGGTGTGCTAAAGGACCCATCAAATACATAAAAATAAATAAATAAATAATCTTACCTCAAAAGAAAATCCATGCCGCTAGACAAGAAGCCCTCACTGAATTCCATGCCATTATTACTTGGGTTTTTAGATCAACTCCCACTCTCAAGGTTTAATGGTAGATTTATGGTGGAAAGAGAGAAAGAAAAGTGAAAAAATAGATATGGAGAGAGAAAATGTGTTTGAAATGAATGAGGAGAGAGAAATATCTCAGCTAAATGATGAAAAAGGGTCCAAAGTGCTTGGTTGAGAGGCTGCCACATCGCTTAGAAGATTCTGATCCGGCACAATCTGCTTGTGTGGATCTATCTAGTAACTTTTTCTCACTACATTACATAATCCGCTTGTGCAGAACAAATCTTCCGCATGTGCTGATTTCCTATATAACTTTGTTAGGTAAATTTCAAACAAGTGTATCTCCTTCTTCTAGAGTCGGAATTATGTTAAATTTATATCTAAATTAAATCTCCGAAAGTAAGCTTTCAAATAGTGTTGGCTTTATATCAAGATTCAAAGTGTAGAAAGAGAAAAATTCAAAGTATAGAGAGAGAAAAGAGCAAAAGAGTGAATATTAGTTAAAAGAATAAAGGTTGAGACCCCCTTGACCCCCTTTAATTTTGATTAGTCAACTTTTTCTTTTTTTTCTTTTTTTTTTCTCTTCTCACCCAATCCCCAACCTCCATGTGTGTGAGGGGGTTGTGGGGGTGGGTGTTTTAAGGGGGTCTAAATCAATGCCCTTAGTCAAAAATAATAAATAAATAAAAAACAAATTTGGAGTTTTGGTTCAATCTTACCTTAAAGTTCCAAAATCTAGAAAAGGGTCTCAAATGTAATATTAAAATTGGATTGGTTCTTACGAGTGGGTCCAGGTAAGTTAAGAGGTTATCTATACTCAGCTTGAGTTGTGTTGAGAGTTGCCTAGGCCCACCCAAGGTCGAGTTGTAACTTGAGGTTGTCTGCACAAGCTTGACTCGAGTTAAGCTCAAATTGTCTAAACTATTCATGAACTCGAGTTTTTTATTTTTTATTTTATTTTATTTTATTTATTTTTAAAGTTGATTAATTTGTCAAAATTAAACGATATTAACATTGTTTTTTGGTAAATGGTTAATAATAAGATCAAAACAAATATTTTATTTAATGTGAGAGAGATGGAGAGGTAAGAAATAAAAATTGAAGAATCAATATACTGCGATGACATTTATAATTTTTATGAGAAAAGAAAAATGTGAATTTTGTTTTGTGTTAGTTGCATATATATGTAGTGAATATGATCCAATTGAGTTAATAAACGAACCAAACAGTTTGAGCTAGAATCGTGTTTGACTTGTTTAAAACGAACTCGGTTAATTAAGTGAACAAGTCAATCTTAAACACATTATAGAATTCATTAAAATTTTCAAATTAAGCTTGAATGGTCAAATTATTCACTTGACTTGGCTCGTTAACCTCAAAACTATATAAAAATACTAGATTGTTTTGACCTCGATCTTGGTTCGACAAAAATTCATTTGAGATCGATAATATGATGAATCAAGCTTAAACAATTAACTATTAGACTCGTTCAGCTCGTTTATTACATCTAGATCTAACAATTTAAATTATTTTAACATTATCCAATTAAAAATTATTTATATTAATATTTTTATATATTTACAGATACAATTCGAATTTCGAGTTGTTTGAACTATTTGATATCTCTGCCCACGCCTATTTAAATTTAATTTTGATTTTCTCTTTTTTACACAAACTTGTATCAAATTCAAAATAAATGCTAAAATAATTTTAAACGCAAGTCATATTATTCAGATTAAACTCATTCAAATTAAATTTTTACTTATGCACCTCAAACTCTCAAATGGTGTTAATGTAAGTGTAACTCTTATTATGTACTATCAATTCTTAGTAGCGGTGCATGTGATCTCAATCCGAGATTTTTCTAATTCATATGAAGAGCGCTTTATGTAAATTTTAAAATTAAATAAGTTCCGCGTAAATTGATTAAAAAAAAAAAACATAAATGAGAAGCACCGAACGATCCATCCAATAGGCATTTGATCAAACCAAAAAAAAAAAAAAAAAAGAAAACTGTTTTTTTTTTGTCAAATGATGGAGTGCCACCTCACTGGAGGTCGACCCCCAATGGATGTATGAGACATTTCTAATTTTAAAATTAATTAAGATGCGCGTAAATTGATTTAAAAAAAAAAAAACATAAATGAGAAGCACCGAACGATCCATCCAATAGGCAGCGCGAGTGCGAGACACGTCACCGCCGCCCTCAGGTAGAGATTACGATTACAATAATTCCAAACTAGAGAAAAAATTTAATAAACAAAAGGCAAAAAAGGCAACTTGCTATTATTATATCTTCTTCCATTATCAACAACGGCATCTCTCTCTCTCTCTCTCTCTCTCTCTAGGTTTCACAATCAAGGTAAGACGTCTTCTTCTCCTTCTTCTTCTTCTTCTTCTTCTTCCTTCTCTCTCTATCTCCAATCACAATAAAATCAAATAGATAGAAACTATGTCACCATTATTGGAGCTCGCACGAAGATATCCTCTTTTCTTTTTTGAACTCGTGAAGATTTCTTCAATTCGGCCTTGAATTTGATTTTGATTATGATTACAAGGTCAAACAATTTTTGATTTTGTTTTGGGGGTTTTTGACTTTGGTTTCTGCATCTGACTTTCCAGGTAGCTTCTCCAGCTGATTCTGGCCCATTGATCCAACAAAGTCCAGGTGTGCCTTCTCAGTCTAGGGGAATCTCTACTTTTTCAATTTTTTTTTTATAATATATTTTATGAAGTAATTATTATTATTTTTAAAATTTTTAGTAATCAAAATAGACTAGTAATTTGTTAGCTGAGAGCACTTTAGATTAATAATAAAAAAATTAAAAGTTGCTTGCGTTTGTCCCAATCAGAAGAAATTGCGTATAAGTTGAGAAAGCAAAAAATTTGAACAAACATCTCTTCACCACCGTATTAGTCCTTGTCTTGTTCTTATTCTTCTTTAGATCAGGCCGTAGCTCTGAGTTTGGGTATACGAATTTTATTGAGTTTTGTTTGATTTTTTACTTTATTATTGCGTTTAAGGGGTGTGTTTGATTGATTGATTGATTGATGATTAGTTAACTGTGATGGAGACCAATAACTGGAGGCCTGCTCCAGGCGGCGGTGAACCCACGATGGACCCGGGTGATTGGAGGACCCAATTGCAACCTGATTCTCGACAAAGAATTGTCAATAAGATGTGAGCTTTTCTTCCACATTTATTTTAATTTTATTTTTGTAAATAATAGTTCTATGTTTTTAGATTCTTATTGTTGTTTTACATGCATATACACCCAACAAAAAAGAAAAGAAGAGAGAAACACATCCGTTTGTGTAGAGATTTGTGGAGTTAAATGAAAAAGGAAAGAGTAAAGGGTATGAGCCCTAATTTATTTTTTCTTCACAAATTCAAGATCTAAACACAAACACAACATAAAAGTGTCATTTGGTAACGTTTACAGTTTCTTGTTTATTTTTGATAAAAATGAAAACAAAAAATATGTTTTGGTGCAAACTTGTTTTGAAGACAAGTGAAAGGGTGGCCGTTGGGAGGTGGTGGTTGAAAGTTGTTGTTGACGGTTGGAGGTGGTTGTCAGCTAGTGTAGGTGGTTTGCCAGCCATCAAAGGTGTGCTTGTTAAATGCGAGAGGTGGTTGCTTGCGGTTGATGGTGGTTGGCTGCTTTGGTTGGTGGTCGAAAGTTGGTTGTTGCTACTGGGAGGTGGTTGGTGGCCAAGGGAGATGGTGGTCAAAAGCCGTCATCGGCGATGGTGGTCGAAGGTGGGGGTAATCAGCTGTAGGCTGGATGGAGCAGAAGAAAGAAAAAGGAATGAAATTTCTTTTTCTAAAAGGTGATAAAAAAAAAAAAAAATCTTTTCCTAAACAAGTGAAACCAACTTTTTTGTGATTATAAAAATTTTGTAAGCTGTTACAAGTTTTTGAAAATGGAAAAAGATAACAAACTATTTATTGTTTACCATTTACAATTTTTTTTTATGTATAAATAGAAAACTATGAACATAAATGTTACCAAACAAGTAGTGGTGTTCACAGCTCAGTTCGGTTCAGACTTACTTTTGGCTTGGCAGCCGAACCGACACCATCAGTTTAGGAAATCACACAACCATTATTGACCGACTTACAGTTCATAATCGACCAATTGAAAGTATTCGGTTTGGTAGTTGGTTCGGTTGATTTCGAAAATCTAGTAAAGATAGAGGATAGAATTTCTAGTCTTATTGAATTTAATTTTTATGTTTGTAGTGTTATCTATATATAAGGCATATAAATACATAATAAATGTATAAGCTACTTATTTTGTTGTTTCCCCATGTGTTGTGTACTATGTTTTTTGGAAAATTGATGTGTTGGTATGTTCGTTCTTCTTAATGCATAATTATAGTTGTTGTGATCTTATTAAATAGTTTCCATCCCCCGAACACTTCCAAGCCGTAGGATTGTTGTCTGATCATAAAACTTCCATGTTCTTTTTACGCAATACATGTTTTTATCTTGTCCACATAATTTCATGAAGAAATTTGTTTTCTCTAGTCTAGTATGATTATTATAAACCTAAGGTAGCCAAATGATTTGCCTCCAACAAGTAGCTTTTCCAACTCTCTTTCATTTCCTCACCAACAGATCCATCACTTTTTATATTCTTCTTTGGCTTAGCAAGCCTATACATATTCTTCTTTCATTCTTTTTATTTATTTTTTATTTTTTTTATTCTTTTCTTTGCACTTTTTTGGCTTCAATAATTTTCCTTATTTGTACATTCTTGGAACTCTTATAGCAGTGAACATGTATTTTTTACTTATCGAAAGAAAATAGAAAAAGCCTTTTGATTTCACTACGACTTGCTTCCTTCTTCCACTGTTGGGTTTCCATTGATAATGGCCCCTTCCCTGTTAATTTACCAAGAAATTCCTTTTCTATTCTTGTAACACATTCTGCCATCCTATCTTCATTACATTAGCATCATATTTCTATTACCTCTTTGCTGCTTTTGACATTTTTATATTTACACAACTACATTTTCTTTCTCTCAGCTACTTAGTTTGTGGGTCTCTAATCTCTGTTATATTTGTTGCAGAATCACCTTGTAATATTTGTAATATTTTTCTAGTGAAGAAACTCGGAGTTTTTAACTTTGTCAATTTAAATTTTAAACTTTTAATTTGTTTTCAATCTAAATCATCCACCTATTTTTGTCAAGTAAAAGTGATAGAAAAATACTCCCTCTGTCCCATTTTGTTAGTCCTTTTTCCCATTTTAGGATAGGATGTTCTAAAATGTTTGTCCTATTTGAAAAGAAAGTAAAAAATATTTAGTTTTCAAAATTACCCTTTTGAAATGGCTAGAAATATATTCAAATTTGAAAAAGAGAAGGGCATTATTGGAATAAGTGCTCTAAATTTTGAATTCAAATGCAATGATTACATGTCCCCTAACACAGTTAGAATTTCCAAAGGGGACTATCAAAATGAGAAGGAGGGAGTAGTATTTTAGTCATTAAACTCAATGTAAGTGTACGAAAAATGTCTAAAATACCATTTTCTATTGAATTGAATGACTAAAATACCCTCTTTTTTTTCCGTTAGTTTTACTTAACAATGTTAGATGGATGGTTTAGATTAAAAACAAATTAAAAGATTAGTGTCTAAATTGACAAAATTTAAAATTCAAGTTTATTTTGTTATAAGGTTCAAACTCTGATTCTTTTTGTATTTTTCCCAGAACTATTTGACTCTTATTGAATCTAGTCTTGATCTTATTAGGTTTTCGTGCTTTATTTATTAATTTTTTTATAAATTGAATTAATTTTTTTAAATATTATGCAAAAGATAAAAAATATTGTTATATAATTACATGTTATAAATCAAATACATTAGTCCCATATATTGTTGAATGTGTCTTTTACTCTAGCGATGTACCCAGATATGAAACGTAAAGTTCTGATATAGCTTACACACAATTTATTCAATTTGTGGAGGTTCCATTGGTTGAATGGGCCTCACTAAGCTCATTTCAGTATTATAGGAATGCTTTAGCTCACTTGAGTCTCTTATATTTTCTAAATGTCAAAATGACATCCGTTCGGCCTTGCTCCTATGGAGTTTAGCACTACCTACGGAAACTGAACAATAAAATATCACCAGGGGAAAAGGTTTTTGGTGTTATTAAAATTTTTTAAGGCCTGTTACGCTAATTTGGTTTAGGGAATCTCGTGATGTCTTAGGAATTATGCCTTGGATGAGCTCCATGAAGGCATAATGAAGGTCTAAACAGTGACATGCTTTCTTGAATCAAGCTTTTTGTTTCTTTATATGTACTCTATGCATTTTAAAATTGAGAATGTTGTCATACTTTATAAACCCTGCTGCCAATTCACCTGCATGGTTGTTTAACCATTTAAAATGTAATGTTTCATGTGGGCAGAATGGACACTTTGAAGAGGCATCTTCCCTTTTCTGGACAAGAGGGACTGCAAGAACTTAAGAAGATTGCTGTAAGGTTTGAGGAGAAGATCTACACTGCTGCCACAAGCCAGGTATATCCGTCATTTGGGCATCTTTTGATTCCTTGTTATGTCTTTGTCATATTGCATTTGATCATTTGTTTCTTTGTAAATTTGTAAAATGCAGACTTCATCCAAAAAACAAAAGGGAATATCTGCATTTCACCTTCTATGTTTGTATAGCAATGGTCGGTTGGTTTTTGGCTTGGCATAATTGCTCATGAATTATATATTCTTAATTTCCAATTGCAGTCTGATTATCTGAGAAAAATATCTCTGAAGATGCTGACAATGGAGAACAAATCTCAGAATACTATATCGAATTCTGCCAGTAATAGCAAAAATCCTCCAGATACAGGTAATTGCGTGAAAGAATTATACATTTCTTTTTCAGCAATCACCTGTTGAAGATATCTGGAATTCTTGATGTTATATTGTTTTGATTCTTCTTGTGTTTTTCTTTCTCATCATTTTTGATGGAACAGTTTTGCTCTTATTTTTCCCATTCTTGCTCTGGAATGTAAGCATTTAGTAAATGAAATATAAATGTAAGAGGCCATTTACTTAAGTTTACAATGTAAATAAGGAAGTAGTAAATACCCCCCCATTTGGATTCAAAGAAAAATACTAGAAAATCAAAATCCAAATAAATCAATAAGTGGTTTCCCCAGTTTTAGTATAAAAATAATTTTCTGGCTGCAACTACTAAATTTGGTGTTTAAAGTGAAGTGAGTTAGACTACGTAGAAAAATTCGATAAATTTAATTTAAACTATTTAATATACAAGGAACAATTATCGGGAAAATTAGTTTCAAAATTGTGATTTTTGGAAAATCCAATTTTCACACTAATTTTAGACGTAGTCCAATTTTGACAAAAAACCGTTTTGGATGCAACCAATGTAAAATGAATGTAAAGCCAATGCAAGTGTAATGCACAATCTTCATTGAGCCCTTGGATACTTGCTTTCTTGCTTGATTTGCCTTGATCCTTTAAGCTTTGTGACATTCACGTGGATTCGTTTCTACATGCAAAATACTTGAGAACAAGTCATTAGTACCATAAAAATATGTTTGTTATCATCAATACTTATCCACATATATTGATACTAGCCTTAGGCCTAACAACCACTAATGAACGGAAGCCACAAAAATGAAAGTACAAACTGTCATCATCTTAGCAACCGGGGTAAATGTTTCCTTATAGTCAATGCCATACTCCTAAGAAGAACCCTTGGCAACCAAACACGCCTTATATCGTTCTAGATATCCGTCTGAATGAGTTTTAACCTTATATATATCCATTTGCAACCGACAACATTTTTACTTGCAAGGAAAGGAACCAACTCTCAAGTACAACTCTTTTTAAGAGCAATTCGTTCATCTTGTACAACACACACCCAATTAGGATCAATACAAGCTTCCTTGTAAGACTGAGGTTCTAAGTAAGCATGAATAGGGGATAAAAAAGTATGATAAGGAGAAATGCAAGTACTAGCAAAACTACTTACCCAAAAAAAGTACTAGCAAAACAACTAAGTCTTGTTAAGGGTTTACAATCTCGAAGAGGATAGCATTTTGCAGGATGATCAAGTCCCACAGAAGTAGGAGGGGTTATAGAATTGATGGAGACAGGTACAGAAGGGGTGTACTATGAGAATAGACCCAAAAAAAGCGTGATGCCTGAAGAGGGAGCAAAAGAAGAGGAAAAATCTGCAACATCAAGCGTCATGGTATACTCATCTGTAGGTACAACATCAGGAAAATGATCAATATGAATGAAGTTCTCCTTAGACACAAGGACACCCTTGGAAGACAAAAATAAGGGAAATGCTCAAGAAAGACCACATGATGAGAAACATTTAACTTATTAGAAACCGGATCATAACACCAATATCCTTTTTGATGAATACCATAGCCTAGAAACACACATGACAAAGTGAGTACTGAGCTTGGTACACTCCCGTTGACGCAGGAGAACAAATCATGCGGATCCAAAACATGTAAAAAAAGAATAATTAGGAACTTGACCAAACTACTTTTCATAAGGAAAAATACTAGAGAAGAGTGGGGATAAGATTAAGATGATAGGTTGCTGTAAAAACCGCTTCACCACAAATCACAACAGGAACTGAAGATGATAAGATTAATATGATAGGTTGCTGTAAAAACCGCTTCACCACAAATCACAACAGGAACTGAAGATGTAAGAAGGGAGCTATTAGTGTCAAGGAGGTGTCAATGTTTCCTTTTTGCTGTACCATTTTGTGTTGGGGTATATCAGAACAATACCAGATACATCTAAGAAATTAGTAAATTTGACAATAAAATGCCACCTAAGATAGAATGAAGAATTTCGATAGTTGTGTGGAGAACTGAGTTTGAACCATAGAATGGAATGAATGATAAATGCGAAAGAAATCAGACTTGTGAGACATAATATAAACCTAACAAAAACGACTATAGTCATCAATAAAGGAAACATAGGACTATTGGGGCGTGGGGGTGTGCTTCCTTTAGGTCTCAGGGTCAACTCCCATTAAGTGCTATCAACTCTTTGGGTCCACGCCCGCGGGCTCTGTCCGAGATTTGCCCAATCCTTGCGGAGGGGGCGCTTTGCATGGGTCTCGGGATTTAGTTGAGGTGTGTGTAAGTTGGTTCGGACACCTGGTCATAAAAAAAAAAAATTTAAATAAATAAGGGTAACATAGTACACAAAACCCCCTTGAGTAATAACAGGAGAGGGACACACATCAAGTTGAACAATAGAGAAATGATAAGTGGAAATAGAAGTACGTGTATTAAAAGCTAAAGCAGACATTGGCAAGTTTACAACTGCACTCAGAAAGATCACTAAACGACACCTTACCCATAACACAAAACTGAACCAAACAATTTAACCGTTCACTAGACACAGCCTTACCTAGAATGCCAAAGATAAAAGGACACGAATTCACAAAGCTGTGGATGGAGACGACACAGGAACATGCTAGCTTTCCAACACGTATAAGTCACCAGTCCTATGCCTGGTCACAATAAGCTTCTTGGACATCTAATCCTGATGAACACAACCTGAAGAAGAAAGGAGAACGTTAAAACTTGAATTAGATAACTGACTAATGGACAGTTGAGGAACGTAGAAAACGTTTGGAAGGGACAGGGGAAGAAAAGGAAGAAAAAACAAAACCGATAGAAACATCAGTTATAGGAGCACCATTGGTGGTACAAATAGTCATGGGAGAAGTACGAGAGCAATGAGGGGGGATAAATTGGGGGTCATATGATTAGAAGAACTAGAATCAATTATCCAAGTACTCTGAGAGATACCTTCAGTGTGAGATCATTGCACAATTGCTTTTTAACCTTATTTTCTTGACTGTTCATCTTTTAACCTGGTTTTGGTTTCTTCATCTCTTTCTTCTGAGCAGTATCCCATGGCATGCAACCCCAAATTGCAGGCAACCAGGGGCAATCACTTTCTAATCCAATGGTGGCTAACCAGTCTCAATCCCGCCAACCGCTGTTATCCCAGAATATTCAGAATAACATCACAGCAACAGGAGTACCAGGTTCTGCTAATTTAACATCAGCACTGCCTTCTGTTGGTGGTTTACCACAGACTAGCATACCAAACGTTGGCCAGAATTCCAATTTGCAGAACATTCAGAACATCTCTGGGGTTTCACAGAATTCAGTTGCAAATTCAATGGGGCAGGGGGTGTCTTCCAATATTTTTGCCAATACTCAAAGGCAGATGCCAGGAAGGCCACAACAAGTTGTTCCCCAACAACAACAGCAGCAGTCTCAAAATCCACAGCACTATCTTTACCCGCAGCATTTTCAACAGCAGCTTCTGAACAAGAAATATCCGCCAGGAAGTATTCCCCCACACATGCAATCTCACATCCAGCAACAACAGACACAGCAGCAACAGAACCTATTACAATCTTCTCAGCAATCTGTTATGCAGCCTTCTAGCATGCAACCAGCTCCACTATCTGGCCTTCAACAGAATCAGCAGTCTTCTGTTCAACAGTCAACACAACCAATGCTTCAGCAAAATCCACAATCAGTTCTCAGGCAACAGCAACAACCGCAGCAGACACCCATTATTCATCAACAGCAAACACCAATGCAGCCGCAGCCGATATTGCCAACGCAACAGCAGCAGCAGCAGCAGCAGCAGCAGCATCTAGCAGGGCAGCAGCCAAATTCTACAAACATGCAACAGAACCAGCTAATTGGGAATCAAAACAGCATCCCAGACATGCAACAGCAGCAGAGGTTGCTAGGCCCGCAGAATAATCTTTCCAACTTGCAGCAGCAGCAGCAGCAGCAGCAGCAGCAGTTAATGAGCCAGCAAAACAACCTATCAAATATTCATCATCAGCAACAGTTGGGTCCCCATGGTAATGTTGCTGGGCTACAGCAGCAACAGCAGCAATTGCTCGGAACTCAATCTGGCATGCTACAACAATCTAAGGTTCCAATGCAGCAACAAACCCAGCAGAGTTCTGCAACTTTGTTGCCAACCCAAGGTCAACAGTCACAACCACAACCTCCACAGCAGCAATTGATGTCACAGATTCAAGCACAGCCTGGACAGTTCCAACAGCAGTTAGGTTTGCAACAACAGCAGAGGCTTCAAACATCAGGCCCCTTACTTCAGTCACAGAATATGCTTGATCAGCAAAAGCAGCTATTTCAATCGCAAAGAGCCATTTCAGAGGCGTCATCAAGTATGTGACATTTCGTTCTCACAGATTGTTTATTATGTAGCTTGTATGTGCCATTTTTGATTTTTACTTTATGTTCTTGGTTTAATTATGCCTCATAGTTTCACGCTTCAGCAGTAGATGGTTATAGATTTCTGGACAAGTAATTTGTTTGTGATTAAAGGACATTTATAAAATTGATTGGGAAGGCTCCTTGCTAATCAGCAAGTTCAACAAAAATATTCTTCATTTCAAGCTAAATGGCTGAAAAATTCTAGCAATCCATGTGGTTTAGTCCCATATTTTGTAAATATTTTATGCAGTTCATATGTTTAGGCAGGTACTGTATGTGTACACCTTGCCTATACATTATTACTTGGCTATCTAAAAGTTAATATTTATCTGATGATCATTATGTTAATTGTCAACACCATATAAGAAAATACAATGTGGTAGATAAAATTGGTGTGCCATGGGATTAAGGAATTGTTAAAAATATTAAAAACATCAAAGTGTGAACGCTAGGGGTCAAAACGGGTTTACTAGGTAATAGTTTGTGAGCTTGAGAAACTACCTTTTTTTTTTTTTTGCTGCATTGACGCGATTTCAATACAAGTATGAAAGCATCAAATTATGCTAATTTGAATTGTAACTGAGACTGCTCAGAACCATGGTGTGAGCTCGTACCCCTTCTTTATATTCCTTCTTGTTTGGTACCACACTGAAAAAATTTGTGAATTCTGAATATCTAGTCATCTTATCAATTGAGGTATATATGGGGTTTACAAGTTGCAAATTAAGCCTAAACATATGTCTTGACTTGAGCCTAAATCTGCGCAATGAAATACAAGAATTAAGCCTAAATATATGTAATGAGATGTTCCTAAATATACAAGGTCAAAGAAGAGCTGATTAAGGAGATTCTCTAACACTCCCCCACAAACTCAATGGTCTAGGGAGAATGAGTTTAGAACGTAGAAGCTCAAAGCGTTGCTTATGTAACCCCCTATGAAGCACATATAATCCAAAAAAGGTCCCGTGCGAGTGTTGGATACGTATTGGATGTAGATACGTGGCTGATATGGCAGGATATGGCAAATAAAAATCCAATTTATTTTTTTAACTTTTTCTAATTTCGGATATGAGAGGGACATGTGAGCGATACAGGATATGGGAGGAATACACGAGGGATACGCCAAATAAGTATCTATTTTTTTTTTTTTTTGTATATATTATATGCCAAATAGGTATGTAATTTGTTTTTTTTTTTCAATTTTTTTCTTATTTTTCTTATTTCATATTTCTATTTATATTTTTTCAAGGTCAATACTCTCTCCCACTTGCCCTTGCTTTCTATGTCTCTTCATATTGTGTTGTGTTAGCATTGTCAGTATCAATTTCTACTTTGTTAGCCTTGTATTAGGGCTACTCACTTGCGTTGAAAAGAAGAGGGGAAAAAAAAAAGTTGTTCACATTGTTTCTACTTTTTAATTTCATTCTATTGTTATTTTATTTCATTTTTTAATTTTGGATATTATGTTTTAAGGCTATTGTTATCATTGCTTAATTTTCTTATCTTTATTGTTATTTTTTAAATTTCCTTGAATATTTGATCGATTCCTTTGTTTAATTGATTGTTCTTTGATGCAATCTTTTGTTATTCTTTGTTTAATCCTTTGTTATTCTTTGTAAGTATGCCTGGTTGGTAATTGATCTTTGATGCAATCTTTGATGAACATAAAATTCTCTTTTTGATATTAAGGAATTAGTACTAGATATTTTATGAATATACTTATTTTATACATACTACATTACTAAAAATTATAAAAATAATTTTATTTTACAAATGTATCCTTGCCATATCCGTATCTTATTTTTTTAGATTTTTTCGTATCACTGTATCCTTATCTTGTATCTGTATATGTACTTCTTAGGTAACCCCTTAGCGAAAATATTAGGATTCAGTCGAAGGGACAAATTGAACACGATGGCTGCCAAAAAGAACAAGTTCTCGAATGAAATGATAATCAAGTTCAATTACAAGCATGAAAGACATGATTGTAGGTTGTACTGAGGTTGTCATAGTAGAGTGTGATAGTAGTGGAAAGCGGGCATATGAAGCTCTTGGAGAAGATTTTGGATCCAAACGATTTTAGCACAAACCTGAGCGAGCGAGCGATATTCAGACTCGGCATTGGAACAAGAAACTATAGGTTGCTTCTTTACACTTAGAGAGATAAGATTGGGACCCAAGAATACACAGTAGCCAGAAGTGGAACGCCACGTATTTGGGCATCTCGCCCAATCAACATTAGAGAAGGCATGCAAGAGTAATTGACCAGATAAGGGACGAAAGACCAGTCCAAGTTCCACAGTTTCTTTTAGGTGACAAAGGATGCTCTTGTCAATGACAAGATGAATGGGGACCTAGGGGCACTCATGAATTGAGCAACATGATGAACTACAAAAGCAATATCTAGAGGAATCAAGATCAGAGGAGGTAAAACTAAATGCCTATACTTAGTGGGATTTGCAAGTGGGTCTCCTTCAAGAGCAGAGAGTTGTGTTTTTGCATTTAGGGGTGTACTACGAGGCTTGCACTCCTTTATAGAACTACGACGCAAGAGATCAGCAGTGTAACGACTTTGGGAAAGACGAAGAGCGGAGCACAAGGAAGACACCTTAAGGCCAAGAAAGTAGTGGGAAGAGCGAAGGTCCTTGATGTCAAACTTATTAACAATAGTGGAGGTAAATGACTAAAGCATCGATAGAGTATTCCTAGTAAGCACAATATCATCAATATAGAGCAATGATATTATCATCTGAGAAGAGTGCTGGAGAACAAGCATAGAGTGATTTGACTCTGAGTGAAGCACATCGGACGAGAAAGGAGCTAAAACACTGAGACCAAGTACAAATAGCTTGTTTGAGACCATAGATGGCCTTCTAAAGTTTACAAATATGTTGAGGGGTTTGAGGATCAGCAAACCCAGCTGGCTGAGTCATAAAAATTGTATCTTGAATAAAACCATGGTGGAAGGCATTCATGACATCCAATTGTCGTAAAGACCACCTAGAGGAGTTTGCCAAGTTGAGAACAACATGGATTGTGGTTGTTTTAACCATGGGACTGACGGTCGCATTATAATCCAAACCATGTTGCTGATCCCTTGGCCACAAGATAGGCCTTATAATACTCAATTGAACCATCTGCTAAGCACTTGATCTTAAAAACCCACCGGTAGCTCATAGTGTTTTGATGTGAAGGAGGAGGAACTAGAGATGAAGTCTGATTTTGAAGGAGAGCATTGAATTCATTAGACATAGCGGCATGTCATTTAGGAAATTTGATAGCTTGAGAAAAACATGTTGGTTGCTAACTGGAAAAGGAAAGATTAGCTGCCAAAGCATGTGGTATGCCACATATGCTTCAAACGACAAGTTTTGTCAACTTTGTTAACAGTAGACGGATTGAAGGGTGAGATTATAACTGGACTTGAAGTATAGGGGTTGACTGTTATAATTGAAATTAAAGGGACGAAAGTGAGACTTTGGTAAAAGTGTGAGGGTGCTAAGTGTAATTATCTTGTATTTTTTTGTATTAGCGAATTAGCTTTAGGTTTTCCTATTTCAGTTCTTTTCTCGTTCATTTTTTCCTTTTTCTGTTTTGTGTCTCTCTACTTATTCAACCTTGTAATTTTGATATGACATATACATTAAGTGTTCTTACAATTACTTCTGTCATGCGACTTGTTGATTTTCTTACTAAGACACTTTTGCCCGCTTCCAATTTCTGCTTGCTAGGCTCACCTTATGAGTTCTGTATATTTTGCATAATTACTGTTAGTATTCTCCTATTCTAGGTTTTTCTTTTTTGATTTTCCTTTTTTGTTTAGTGTTTCTTTCTATTAAAGAGACTGAAGACCTTGTAATTCAAATACCGAAATAATATTTTTTTCTCATAGAATTCTTACATGGGGCTCGTTTGGGAACTTAGCTATTTTAGTTGGCATTTTGGCTATTTTAGCCTGACTAAAAAATTTTTTGTTTGGGATGGCTTTTTTTTGTAGTTGATGATAGTTGGCTTTTTTTGGTAGTTGATTTGATGGTTGTGAAAAAAAGTGAAATGATTATGGCTTGGATGTGACATTTTATCTTATTGACTATTTTAGCCTATGTTGTCTTTATTGGCTGTTTTAGCCAAAAAAGTCTCCCAACCCAAGTTCCCAAACAACTCCCATGGTATCAGAGCTCAGGTTGAGATAGGACTTAGATTAAAGTGTCTTCGTTTGCATTTGATATTTTTCCCCCATTTGATTTCTTCTTCTCTATTTGGTTGTTTGCTTCTCTTTCTATTTGGTTCTCTATTTGTCTCTCCACATGCAAGATAGGGTTACACGTGAGGGAGGGTGTTGGATAGCTTGATATCCATTGCTAGGCCCATTTCCTAATGGCTTAAGTTTTTGGGACAATTAGTGAATTTAAATTAACAAGATATACCTGGTCAGCACTCATAGGGTTTGAATCAATTGGAACAATGCTCCAAAAAATCACAGTTGGACAGATTTGGAGAAAAACCCCTTTTGCCTGAAAAGCAAAGAAAAGAATGGAAAAGATGATTTCAAAATCACAAGAAAAATTGAGATTTTTTTTGCGAAACCTCTTACCCTAGTCAATCATATTGAGTAGAATTTTTAATATTATTATTATTATGATTATTATTATTATTATTTTAGATTACTAGACCCAACAACCAATTAAAAGAAGAAAAATATGAAGAACTCACTTCTTAGCTCGGATACCACCACAATGAATTGTTAACCGCCAACTCATAAAAGCTCACCACAATGAATTGTGAACCACCAACTCATATTAAAGCTCAAGCTGTTAGGGGTAAGGACAATTATATTATTTATATTGGGAAAGGGGCAACAACTATATTGTTTATATTCTTAACACCATTGCTGGGATATGTTGGTGCTCCTAAGTGGTACCATGATCTGCCTATATCTGATCTCTTCATCTATCCCATGGATATTTTACGACCCAATGCTGCTTTTGCCCTCCGAAACTATTGCTGGCATGAAGATTTTATGACATATTTGATTTTTTTGTTTTTGTTTTTTTATATGTATAATTTGTGCATGTGGCCTGTTACATTGGAGTTTTTGTGTGGGGATGTGGACGGAAGGATTTCTAACATTGTTTATAATTAATTTTTTATTTCATACCAACAGGTTTTGAACTAATGCTTATTTATGTCTGTGACGTAGCTTCATTAGATTTCACAGCTCAGACAGGAAATGCAAGTAGTGGGGATTGGCAAGAGGAGGTCTATCAAAAGGTACAATATCATAATCTTTTGTGCCCTTCAAGTTGAACTCCCTTGTGATACAAGTCATCTCATACAAGGAACTTAAATCATTCAATATAATGAGTAAAATTTCGCATTGATTCTGAGATGAGAAACATCACGAAGTGTATATACTTCTAACTACTCAGCAGCTGACTGTAAACTTGAAGAGTTGCTAAATATGATGTTTCAGTAGTGTGAACAGTTCCATGCTACAGTTATTTGAATAAAACTGTTACCCTGCTTTTTTGAATAGTACTGTTACCATGCTTTAGCTAATGATGTATAATAATGCAAGCAAGTGTTACATGACTATTCTAGTTGCCCTGAAGTACCTGTATGTTGGCCTGATCATGTCAAGGTTGAGAACATCGGATGTGCATCTACCCTAATTGGACAGTTGATTTTCTAATATCTTTTGATGAAAGGAGAAGTTCAAAATTGATAGTCAAATTGATTTCTTGCTGCTTATATGGATAGGGAGGTGGAATTCCCTTTTTCCATTAAATCCTAATTTTATTTCAAGTCCAAATAGTAACAACATATCATAAGTATACAAATACAAAGTGTTTTAACTGTAGAAATCCCTCAAAATTGATAGTCAAATTGATTTCTTGCTGCTTATATGGATAGGGAGGTGGAATTCCCTTTTTCCATTAAATCCCAATTTTATTTCGAGTCCAAATAGTAACAACATACCATAAGTATACAAATACAATGTGTTTAACTGTAGTGGATGGGTCTGCGTATTTGTACTCAACTTTTGGATACATGTTTCTCTATACTGAGGTAACCAAAACGCATACCTGAGTGACCATGTAATGTAGTCACAAACAATTGTATGTGAAATTGTTGTTTAGTTTTCATTTGGGACCTACTTTGCAATCACTGTACTGTGCCATTTGATTAAGTTGTCTTGTCATATAAAATTTCGAATGTTTTCCTATCCTGTCTCAACTGTTCTACCATAGTTAGTTTGTTCCCTGTGATATAAATCCTTTTTTGCATGACCAATCAATACTTCTCCATGTGCTTGGATTCATTGTCAGTCTTCCATCCGATTTGTCTTGTTCATCATATAAATAAACTGCTCTTTATTGGCTTAAGCTTCTGGAGCAATTGGATTTTAGCATATGCTATGTTTGTTCAAACGTTGACAGTTGACACCTCCCTGATAAAATATAATACCATTCAGGTTCATAGGTCACTTGTGAGTGTAAGAGTGGTAATATTATCTACAAGGGTAGTTTAGTTTGGTTTAGTTTTTTTCTAATTCATATTTTCGTATATAAATTAGTGCTTGTAATTTTAACAAATTAATGCGAAGTATTCTTTTCTTACAGTGAGTAGTCTGGCCAAACAGAGAGCTATTAGTAAAAGAAATAAAGAGCTGACTCTAACAAGATCAATATCCAAAATGTCAAATTTATTGTCAATATCAAAAGCTTCTTCCAATAACAATGAGCCCAATATTTATAGGCCAACTAAAATGGAATAAGGAAAGAAATAATAAGGCCCTAAATAATCGAAAATTACATAATAATTCCTTCAATTAAAATGTCCTAACATGAATCTTATATAAGCGTCAATAAATCAATTTGGATTCTTCCTGTCTTGTGTCACTTAAATGCGATGAATGGTAGGCCTCATGTGATCCCCATCATCTCTCTGGCTGAGAAGAATTTGACTCCGAAGTGTGGTGATTGTGATATTGCTCTAAGATATATGGGGCTAGATGGTGCAACTCCAAATTTGTGACCCAAGTAGCATCAGAAACTGGGCAATCTGTCCACTTGATCTCCAGAAACCACTATGTCAAGAACCTGCAATCTCATCTTCTGTCACGTCCTCAACCTGATCGATCTGCGATAGTGTGCAAGGAGGCACTGGGGCAGTTGATGTGGGAAGTCTTCCTGTAGAAACACCTGCGTGCACCATAGGAGGTTTGAATGTGCTTCGATGAGTAAAAAAAGTCCTCAACATTGAAAACAAGACTAATGCTTATATCATATATCCAGTCAAGTAAAAAATGCATTAGGTCCAATCCTACAATAATGTGATGGAGTCCAGTAGTTCGAGCATGCAATTTCTTGAAAGAATGCTTAAGGTAACGCTTTGGACGAACACGTAATCATAACATAGTCACCCTTGTTAAATTCTTGATTCCTACGGTGAACACCGCCAACAAATTTATAATTTTCATTACTTGGAGCTATTTTTCACCTAATGTCAACATGCAGTATCTCAAATGGGCTCTTACCCATAAACCTATTAACTGAATTGTTATAAACCAATTCTGATAGTGTCTTCAAAAAATAACTAACAAATTTGACATGATGAGATCAGACACAATAGAATTCGGCAACCCATATAGCCTCACAATCTCTTTAAAGAACAATTTAGCTGCATGGGGTGCATTAGTGGACTTACTACGAAGGATGAAGGAAGCCAACTTTGAGAACCTATCCACAACTACTAATACAGAATAATGACCCTAGTCGTCCCAGGAAATCTAAGGATGAAGTACACGCCAAGGTCTCTCGTAGTGTGTTGTGCTTTCTAGCCTTAGTGAGCATAGTGTACATTGTGACACAATCCTGGCAACAACATTACTCTTTAAAGAGTGTTGATAAAATCTATCATCTACTAGAGCGATGGTTTTATCCCTACCAAATAGGCCTGAAAGACCACTTGCATGTATCTCCCATATGAAGAAACCCTTGAAGTATGAGGGATACACAACTTAGTTCCCCTGAATAAATTGCTGGCTTTAATGATAACATTCAAATTACTCTAAGTTGGCATCGAAATAAGACTCAAAGTAAGTATACAAGGTCCCCAATAGGTTTTAACTTGCTTCAATTCTTATTTCCATGGTTTTCATTAGTTTGTTGATTCCCATAAAGAAGAGATATTTCTTAGTGTTGTTCTCATTGATCAAGGGTGTTAGGACTTGGGAGAGGTGGCCTTGGTACATGTGTAACTTTTAGCATTTATTTGCACAAAATGACTTTTTCATAACCTAAGTTTTTCAAGCATTGCACCGAACAATGCAGGGGCATGTTACTGAAATAAATAATTATACAGAATTGGCCCCAGCTTATATCTTTTCAAGTTTTGATCTTAGGGCAAGGTATGCGGATTGTGTTATCCACGCTCACTCCTTTCCCTTTTTTATGTTTCTTTGGAAATGGAAAAATAAATCTGAGACTTGTTAGAATAACGAGTACACCCTTCAATCATGTACTTGTGCATTGGTAGAATAGTTAGCTGAAATGTATTCACTTTTTTCTAATTTTTACATTTATGAGTGGAGACTACGGAAGCACTTGACTTACATATCAGTGTTGTGCACAACTCGGATGTGGACATGTAAAAGTGTCCGAAATTATTAATTATTTTTGAATTATGGACAAGTTGAGGGCACTTTCAGGATACTTGAAAAAAATAATTAAAAAAAAAAAAAAAAAAAAGATAACGAGAATAAGCTACCACCTGACAACAATTAGATGGAAAAAGAGTAAAATATCAAGATTTGGGATGGAGGAAGAGAGAGAACTAGAAATGTTATATATCCCACTTACCTGACAACTGACCTTTGTCGTCTTCCAATGACCAATGATTGTCAACTAAATGCTTATTTTGCTAAATTATGAAGCACGGACGCTTGATTTGGCCTCATGCAAGTGTTTGATATGTCTGGGACAATCTTCTTTTGGTTTATGCGTACGGAATTTTTTTGTAGGCGTTGGCAAATTTTTGGATGGACAAGCTTTGATTATGAGTCACATGATGGAATTATGAATTTTGAATGATGATTAAATGAAAATTTTCATGGATGCTTGGTTCTTGAATTTTTATTTAGTGCTTTTGTTGTTTCAAAAATATCTTGATAATATTATTGTTATTTGTGTGGTTTTTCTATCCATAATTTGATTTAAATGATGTCGGTTTTTCATATAGATTTTTCTAATATACATACATGCATATACACACACTCACACATTTTATACAATGTATACTCGATGTATTCATGTCTTAATTTTTAGAGAATTGTAGTGTCTGCGTGTTTGTGTCGTGTGTGTTTCTTAGGTGGAGACAACCTTCCATTTTAATTCATGCATGATGTACAAGTTACTTGTGTGAAAGATTGTGGTTTTATTTGGTTACATTTTCAGAATCTTTTTTCTGAAATTTAAAAATATATATAATTTCAAATTTAAAAAAATTATTTTTGCCTCCCAAAAAGATAAAACGAGTGAAAATGATGAACATCTTCTAAAGTTTCCTGATTTCGTTTGCTTTGCTTTTTATTCTTTTGTTTGTAATTTTTGGAGCTATCCTTTCTAGAAGATTTCATTGATGTGCAAAAAAGAGAGAGGGAGAGAGAGAGAGAGAGAGAGAAGAAAAGGAAAAAAAAGAAGAAATTAGGAAGTACTAGGGAAAAAGAAATCTTGTGATTTTCATCTTCAGGCATGTGCAGTGTGTAGTCATCAATATTATCTCTTAGATGTTAGTTGAAATTGTGAAACTTTTACTTTGCAGATTAAAACCATGAAGGATGAGTATCTACCAGAACTAAATGAAATGTACCAGAAAATTGCTGGTAAATTGCTGCAGGTAATTTTCTGTCTACATCTTTATAAACTTCCTTACCTTGCGTAACTTTGAACCTATCTTTACCTTGTTATTATGGGTGTGGCATTACACTGGGCTGGGGGTTTGGATAGGAGTCTAGGATTCAAGGCAGTGGCATTCTTTTGGGAATTCTTAATATAAATCTACACGGTGACCTTGAAATAATGAAAAACCAAAGATGCTGGTAATGTTGAAGTGAAAGATTCCTGGTTGCTTTCACAGCAAGCCTGGGTAGCATAATGCAGAGCTGCATGTTGGAAGTTTGGCAAGAATAAAAAGCTATCTGGCAATTATGGCTGCACCGCCAAAAGAATTAGAACTTAGATACTCATTTTCTTACATCGGTTTGTGAAACATTGTATTTATTATTTTTTTTTTCTCACTGTACTTGTAATTTTATTGTTTTCCAGCATGATTCTCTGCCTCAGCAACCAAAGAATGAGCAACTTGAGAAGCTCAAAATATTTAAGAATATGTTGGAGCGCATCATGGCATTCTTACAAGTTTCCAAAAGCAATATATTACCTGGTTTTAAGGAGAAGTTGGGTTCATATGAGAAGCAAATAATTAATTTTCTTAATTCAAATAGGCCCCGGAAATTACCTGGACAACTTCCTCTAGCTCATATGCCTTCTATGCAGCAATCACAGCGATCACAATCTCAAATTACTCAAGTGCAGCCACTTGAAAATCAAATGAACCCTCAGCTACAATCAATGAACTTACAGGGTTCTGTATCAACCATGCAACAAAACAATGTGACAAATCTGCAGCATAATTCCTTATCTTCTTTATCAGGGGTTCCAAATGTATCACAGAGCATGATAAATACACTACAGCCGAGTTCCAATATTGATTCAGGTCAAGGAAATGCACTCAGTACATTGCAGCAGGTTGCTGTGGGATCTCTGCAACAAATTCCTGCGAACACTTCCCAACAGGTAAACATGAACTCCTTGTCGTCACAAAGTGGGATGAATGCACTGCAGGCAAACCTTACTCCTCTTCAGTCAAATTCCAATATGCTTCAACACCAGCATCTAAAACAACAGGAACAGCAGATGCTGCAGACACAACAAATGAAACAGCAGTATCAACAGCGGCAGCAGATGCAACAACAGTTGATCCATAAACAACAGATGATGCAGCAGCAGCAGCAGCAACAGCAACAGCAACAGCAGCAGCAGCAGCAGCAACAGCAGCAACAGCAACAGCAACAGCAGCAGCAGCAGCAGCAGCAGCAGCAGCAGCAACAGCAACAGCAACAACAACAGCAGCAACAATTGCAGCAAACAAAAATGCAACAGAATGCCCAGTTACAGGCACACCAAATGCCACAGCTTCATCAGATGAATGATGTAAATGAATTGAAGATGAGAATGGGTGTCAAAGCAGGAGTTTTTCAGCAACACCACTCAGTAGGCCAGCGCTCAGCTTATCACCATCAGCAGTTGAAGTCTGGACCTTCATATCCCATCTCTTCACCACAACTCCTCCAGGCTGCTTCTCCTCAAATGCTTCAGCATCCTTCTCCACAAATTGACCAGCAAAATCTGCTGACATCTCTTACTAAAACTGGGACTCCCTTGCAATCTGCGAACTCACCTTTTATTGTCCCATCTCCTGCAACTCCTCTGGCTCCATCCCCAATCCCTGGTGAGTCCGAGAAAGTTAACTCCGGTGTTTCAGCTCTATCCAATACTGGAAATATTGGACATCAACAAACAACCGGTGTTGTAACACCAGCCCAATCCCTTGCCATTGGCACTCCTGGGATTTCAGCCTCCCCTTTGCTTGCAGAGTTCACTACTCCAGATGGGAATCATGGTAATGCCTCAACAGGTGTTTCTTGCAAGTCAAGTGTTACTGAACAACCACTTGAACGCTTACTTAAAGTGGTTAGTTTGATTTGATATCAGTGGATTATTTTTGGTGCATGGTGATATATTCATTATAAAAACCTTAATTGAAGTTTGTTGTTTATAAATTGGATTGGAATGGTTAAATCTTGACATCGTTTTTGATTTTTAGGTAAAGTCAATGTCACCTAAAGCGTTGAGTGCCTCAGTTAGTGATATTGGCTCAGTTGTTAGTATGGTTGATAGGGTAGCAGGATCAGCACCAGGTAATGGATCTAGAGCTGCAGTTGGTGAAGATTTGGTTGCCATGACAAAGTGTCGTCTACAATCAAGAAATTTTGTCACACAAGATGGAAATACCGGAGCAAGGAAAATGAGGCGCTACACAAGTGCAATGCCCTTAAATGTTGTATCATCTGCTGGCAGTGTAAATGACAGTTTCAAGCATTTGACTGGTTCTGAAGCATCTGACTTAGAATCAACTGCAACTTCTACCATCAAGAGGCCTAGAATTGAGGTATTGTTCCTTGTTTGACATTTTCTTTAGTAACAATGGAAGCTACTTATGCATGTGGACTATGTCTTGCTGTTAGTTCATTACATAGAAGCCTTTATGGTTTCCCTAGAGGACCCCTAACATACTTGGTAATTAAATTTTGGGGTAGAGTTCCCCTTTTGCTTAAAATTTACTTTTCATGTTTTTTTTTTTGTCATTTTACTACCTAATAAATCATGTTGTGGGACTTGATTTTTTCTCTGTTATTTGTTATTCTGTATGATCATTATCTCTTTTCACAAATACTTGCAATGTGTTTTGGTTTTGTTATTTCACTAGACTTGCATGAAAGATATAGTTTTGAGGAGCAATTATCTTTGGCTTCCACCTCCTCCTTGGAAAGCTATTGCAAGGATTCACTATTTACTGCCATAATCCATGATAGAGGTCTGACTTCAGGGGTTCTTTTAACTTTGACAGTGCATTATTTTTGTAGAGTAGAATCAAACACTAGCTCAAGGGTAGACCATATTTAATCAAGAAGCAACGAATATGAATATTACCAAGGAGCTCAAGCAGAGAAAACTCGGTGGTGGTGTTACCATGAACATCATAAACATTTTGAACCAATTTACTAGGATTAAGAGTGACAAAATTGTTGTGGTGAGCCCCTTCATGAGGGGAAATTTTGGGTACTATCCTGTAAGAGGTGAACAAGTTGACATAGATTTGCTCAATATTGATGGAGATAACTTCATGAGGAAAAACAAATTGTGATTATAATCTTTCTTTTCATCGGCGTCTTAATCTTCTTAGATTAGAATTATACTCTTAGTACTAAGATAACTTGATATGGAAGAGCAAATGCAAGATGCTCATGTGTGTGGGAAATCTAAGGAAAACTAGTAAATAATATTCCAAACAAAATAGATAACAAGGACTGTTAAAAATTTCCAAATATTCAAATTTAAAGTCCTAATTAACCAAGCTCCTAGTAATAACAATAAAACAAAAAAATTAGAAAATTTGTATGCCAAAATCCACCAAAAATTGCTTTGAATAAAAGTTGATATCATGCAATACAACATCTGAGAATCGCTTGGCACCTCGATAATGACCCACCAAAACTTGACACAAGTTCGCGCTAAAGCAGTGAACATTTATTTTGGGCACTAACAAGGAAGCTGAAACTTTGAGGATAATCATTCGAATGGTTGTTAGAAAATACAATTAACGATTCGATTTGAATGATTCAAGAATTTCAACCAAAATTATTAGAATTGGGCATTTGAATTGAAAATTGAGTGAATCATGTAATTCAATTTGCTACATTACTATTCACTACGATTCAGTTCTACTTTTGTTTTTGCTTGCATAATGCATGAAACAATGTTGTTTTCTTCTCTGTTAAGTAATAAAAAGGAGATCGATATGCAAGGTTATATATATACAATTTAGTTATATTGATATATCTATATATATATTTATTTTATTTTAAACACTGGATTTTATTTATATATTCATGTAGAGAATTATATATTGTATTCAATAAAGTGAATCTTACAATTCATGATTCACTATTTTAGCAAAAAGATTCACGATTTGATTCATGATTTGGTAACAATAGGACATAGGTCGGCTATCTTTATGTCTGAATTCCTCTTCATTCTCAACACATAGGTGGCTCTCTTACTCTTAATCAAATGAAGTTGACTTAGACATGGCAATCCTTTGAATGTATAGGCTTGTACATTGTTTGATTGGGACATCATTTAAATACAAGGTTAAACTTTGATGGCTCAAATTGAAATGTTGCAAAAGACAATGTTACTTGCTTCTCTAAAATATACATGCATGCTTGCTTATGTTCCATTTAGTAATGTTTTAGTTGTAGAGGCCAATTACCTTTTCCTTAACCATTCATCCAGTTTAGCAAGAATACCTTAGTTGTTTAGCTTGAAATTCTTCCCTACCTAACCTTGATCTAGGGGAAATTTTTTTAGAGTTTCCCATGTAAATTGTTACTTTTTGATAGTAACATCCAAGTAGAAGATATGCCTTTGTCACTGTTACACGGGCTTAGGTAGAACTCAACTACAAAAGTTAGCTATTGAGGTGAGGGTATCCTTGCGTTTATGTACTACACATTACTTTCATACCCAGGTGATTTGGGACTTCGTTTCACATTCTCCCTCACATGTAGCATGCTCACTTGGTAGCACTTGTTGTGTGTAGACTAGGGACACGTACCCTACCCACCCCTGGGTTCTCCGGCTCCGTTACCATGTTAGATTGCCACTTATATCAAAAGCTTAAGCTATAGGAAATTGGTCCTATAATGCAATATCAAGCTATCCATCAGTCACACGTGTGACTGAACGCTATGACAGGTTGCATTATCTCATGGTATTGTAGGTTAAATTACTAGACCAGACAAATCTTTCAGTTGTGAGTACTTTTGTGGTTATTCAACCGTATTGTGCATTTTGTGGTTCTGTTTCTATCTATACATGTAAATGTATACCTATCTATCTATCTATCTATCTATTATTTATTGGGCAAAACCATTTTAGCCCCTTGTGGTATGACCTAATAGCACTTTACCTTTGTCTTTCAAAAATAGTCACGTACCTTCCTTGTGGTTTTGGATTAAATTGCTACAGTAACATTTTCTATCCAAAGTACCAGAAAGTGTCTCACATGCCCATTTTGAGAGAGGGAAAGGAAAAAAAAAATTAGTCAAAGTTAAATTTTAGTGCAGGAAGATGAAACTAGCCTTGTTTTACCCTTTTTATCTAAATTTCTTGTTTAATAACATTTTAAATTAAACACACATTATATATATAATTAAATTAACCTAAATATCTTAATTTATTATTATAAAAATTAATCATCAAACTAATTTAATCTAATTTTTAAATTTTAACCTAATTTTTAATTTATTAACTTTTTGAAATTAACATAAACATACACACATATATATATATAACAAATTAAATCATAAATTAAACTAAACACCTTAATTTATTACCATAAAATTACCTTATTTAATAACATTTTAAATTAAACATATACATAATACGTACATACATATATATTAAACTAAAGACCCTAATTTATTACCATAAAATTACCTTATTTAATAACATTTTAAATTAAACATATACATAATAAATACATATATATATAACAAATTAAATCATAAGTTAAACTAAAGACCCTAATTTATTACCATAAAATTACCTTATTTAATAACATTTTAAATTAAACATATACATAATAAATACATATATATATAACAAATTAAATCATAAGTTAAACTAAAGACCCTAATTTATTACCATAAAATTACCTTATTTAATAACATTTTAAATTAAACATATACATAATAAATACATATATATATAACAAATTAAATCATAAAAGTACCTTAATCTGATTTTTAATTTTTAAGTCAATTTATTAGTTAATAACATTTTAAATTATACATGTACATATATATTTAACAAATTAAATCATAAATTAATTAAAATACAAAAATTAAGTTTATTTAAAAAAATATTTAGGAAAGTCTAGTTTCTTAAATTAGTTTTGTGTTATGCTTTTTATTTTTTTGCTTAGTCATGGAAATAAATTTATTTATTTATTTATTTACAAAGAGAGACAAAAATAGAAGGAGAAGAAGACATAAAGGGTATAATTGTCCTTTTATTGTTAACATTAACGGTGTTAAGGTTACATTTTAGTAAAAAAATCACATGGGGGGTATATGGCTATTTTTAAAAGACGGGGTAAAGTGCTATTGAGCCATACCACAGGGAGGTAAAATGGATTTTGCCCTTATTTTATGTTAAATAAGCAATGTTTAAGACCACTTGAGAGTTAAATACAATGTCCCCATTACTTCATATTACACCTATACATGTTTAAGTTTTTGTGCAGGAAAAATTAAATGCATAGCTTGCACACCACTTAGGGAGTGCTGTGTATTGTATTGTGAACTTTGATATGTTGATGGATTCAATGTGGATGAACATGCATAAAAAACAGGTCCTTATTTTTATGAAGTTTGCATATGGTTTTATCCCTTGTAACTCATGTCATTGACATTGACTACATTGGAAGAAACCTCTCTTTGAGACATTAGCATTGACTAAAAGTTCAAACCATTATGGTGCTACGCTTGTCCGTCTAATTCCATTCAAATTTTTCATTATTGCCGAATTTGTGAACTTTTGTACTAGTACATATTGTTGCATTATCTACAAAATGAATTTGTATTCTATATATACCATTTAAGCATTGTAGATCTTATTCGTGTGAGAATGGTGATCACTGGTTTGTTGTACTGTGAGATAGGAGTTGCAAGGAAACTCCTGTGGTTCAAGCCTTAAATTGTGTTTTAAATGTCTTAAAAAGGTGGAATGGATCTCGTACACCATTAATTTGCTATGTACTTCACTATATTTTATACTAATTTATGCATTTATTTTAATTCTTGAAATTGATGAGGGGATATGGCTTTTGAAATTCCTGTTCATTCATTTTTGGATTTGGTCATGATGTTACATAGTAAACAATGACAGTTTTGACATGCACTAAACTAAGTGTGTGACAGGATGAGACTGAGAAAATGATGCTTTTGCCCTTTTCCCCCCTTTTTTCTTCCTTTTCTTTCTTATTTCCTCCGCATTCCCTTCACTGCTGCTTCACTGCAGTGGTCACCCACCATCTCTTTGTGTTCTCCATGTCCTTCTCCCTCACTTCCTCCAAAAAAGGAAGACCTCCACCAATGAAACCATGCCTCCCATGGTAGACTTTGATGCCCTCTCTAGTGTGGCAGCCTCCACTGGTGGGGCTAACAAACACCACCTCAACTAGCAGGCCTTAGGCCAACCAAACCACCACTTTCCACCATCTACTGACTTTACCTTAATCGTTTCTCTTTTTCTTGTCATTACAAACGTACGCGCATTTTTTGCGTAGGCACACACACGACCAACTATACCAAGACTCAAATAATGGTGGTTGCCACATGAGGTTGTTGGTGGAGTGGTTGGTCTAGGTAGTAGGAGGGAGATGATCTGAGCTCCGTGGGTGGTTGCAGCCATGGTCTGCTGGGTTTCTGTCGGGCTGCTGGATGTGCTTCGGAAGAAGAATAAGATTGAGAGGGGGAAGAAAAAGATGCTGTGATTGTGTGATGATTAAGAACCCGTAGCAATATAAACGAGTATAATGGAAAAAGTATGGGTGTCGTATCCTTAGGGATTGAAAGGTTGCGTCGCTTAAATCTTGGAAATTGATGCTCAATTAATCGGAACAAGGAGAATAGTTGTTCTTAACCTAAATTAACTAAAAGTTAATATTGAACTAACTGAAGTGAATTGGAATTCAAATTATAGAAGATTCTTAGGGTTTCGAATCCACCACAAGCCTTTGTAACATGGTTTTTTTTGTATCAATTTCATAAATTAGATTAGAATGAAATGTTGACACTAAATTAGGTTTGTGAGATGTCTCATTTTCTCTAGGCATGGCTCCTCTCAACCCTGAAAACATGTACGAATATAACCATTGTGTAACTGTTGTATTTATTATTTAAGATCACAGGTATTAAACAGAACTATTGAATCAATCATTGAAAAGTAATTTGATAAAACAAAGGATTTGATCAAGAATTATTTCTTCCAAATAGTGCCATATATCATTTTACAATAGCTACACTTTAAAGGCTTTCTCGCAATGCCATTGGTACTTCAAGACAAGTAAAAGAGGGTTTCAAATTATTAAAAATTATGTCATGTCCTTTCTACCTTTTCGGTTCATAGTTTTTCTTTTTCCTCCCAAAAATATTTAAAATCTTTATAAACATAATATAAATTCAAATCATTTTGTGTTTTTGTTTAATGTTCCGTTTGAATTAAGTTACCCCAATATACAACATTACAATTATATCACAATTCAAATGTATACTAACATTACCCTTGTTGCCAGCTTTTGTGCATGTGCATGTACTGACATCAAAGCACAAAACCTCTTTATTTTCGAAATGACGACTTCCTGAGTTCTCTTTGGACACCTGAGTGTATGGAACAAGTAGTTTTTTATTTGAAGTCTTTAGAGGAAATCTCTATCTTAAATAGAGCACCAGCCATCTTCAATAGCATAAAAAGGGAATAGAGTCAAAATATACAATAATTTGGCTTCAAAGACCTTAACAAATCCTTCATTTACTTATTTTGGAGAGAAAAAATAAAATAAAATAAAAGATGGCATTATATGGTTGAAAAGCTACTAAATGGAAAAGTGTGAGATTGTCCAACAATTCATGTACATTGATTAAGATTCTTTAAAATATGTGTGTCAATCTAGATTTAGATCAGCATGGGGTCAAATTAGATTAAATCATAAGATTCAAGTTGAGAACTATGATATTCTGTTACTATTTCTTATACAAGAATATTATTTTAGTGGTTCTTGTGAGACAAAGTATGTAGTTAGTGTATAACTTTATGCACGGGTAATTTTTATTTGGGTATTATTATTAACCTGGCATTGATTTTTTTCATTTAAAGAAATTGTCATGATTGTTAAGATATTCTTACAATGGTTGTGTTCAACATTTGTATTTATTATATATTTCTGCAAGTAAATAATGTAAAATGGATATTACTGCTTAGATTTCATCATTATGATCTACGAAGGACTGAGACCACCTAGCATGCCCTGTCTGTGTCCAACGTGTTGGTCATCAACACTAAGTGGACATGCACTTTAGTTTATTAAAAGAAAATACACTGGACACATTTTGGACACATGAAACCTGCATGTCTATCATTTGAACATGCATGAGACACTTCTATTGACAACTTGTTACAGGCTTGAAGAAATTAAAATGAAGGCCAAAGATTAAAATAGAATATGAAACTATGGATCTACACATAGTTATCGCTTCTTTAGGATTTTTTTTAATACTTCAAAACTATATGCCATTATGACTTTCAGTTTGTTAGTGAAAGCTCAAAACTTTGAAAAGTTCGATATTGGAGCTTTATATCCTATTTTTTTCATTTTTTGTTTTTAACACAAAAAATAGAAAGTGAACTATGTCATGCTATGTTTATGTAATAAATTATTTCTTTCTATAGTAATGAATAATTTGCTTCTATTTTCAAACATAAATATTTTTTTATCTTTGTGTATATATCGTTCATGTTTTTGCAAATCTGTGTGGGCCTGTATGTTTCGTCTCATATCTGTGTGACTCTTGTCTGTATCTGAGCTTTTACAATTATAAATAGTTCTGGTTGTGGTCAGTTTACACGATCAGGATTGAATGGCTTCATCTCCTGGTTGAAGGTAATTACCCTCAAATGATAGGAAAACTACTCATTCTTGCTCATTTTTTGCTTTGATCTAAGTTTAGTTCTGAGATATGTCTTCTTAATTGTTCACAAGGCCATTGTTATTAGTAATTTTGCGACAATCTCTTGCTTAAGCTTAAGGTAGCTTCAGTATAACCTTGTAAATAATCCCAAGGGGTTGGCCTAGTGGCAAGGCCTTGGTTCTTGGGGTTGTGTTCCCTCCAAGGTTTAGGGATCGAAACTTCTTTTGTGCTAACATTTCTTTGGGGCCATCAAACTGGGGAAATACTCTTGAATTAACCGTGGTGCACTTGCGGGAAACTCTTTGCCGAGGGCCTATGCACCTTTAGGGATTAGTCGGGCTTTGATCCGGACACTCCGGTGCCAATCAAAAAAAAAAAAAAAAGAAGTTTGACCTTGTAAATGATTTTCATCTTACATCTTTGGGGGCAGAAAATTCCCGTTTGGCTTTTCATTGTGTAATATGAAGCTTAGATATGAATTTGTAAATTGAGTTTCATCTTAGATCTTTCTGGCAAAAAATTCCTATTTGGCTTTTCATTGTGTGTAATATGATGCATCACCTGTTGCAGGCTAACCATGCCCTTTTGGATGAAATAAGGGTGATAAATCAGCGACTTATAGATACAGTAGTAGATATCAGTGATGAAGATGTTGATCCAACTGCAGTAGCTGCTGCTGCTGCTGCTTGTGAAGGCAGTGAAGGAACTATTGTCAAGTGCTGTTTCATTGCTGTTGCTCTCAGTCCAAACTTGAAGTCACAGTATGCTTCTGCTCAAATGGTGGGTTTCAAATCCTTTGATCTCATTTATTGTCTGTCAGTGTAGTTCTTTCCAACATTGTATTCACTTTGTGTTTTATGGATTTGCAGTCACCTATTCAGCCCTTACGGTTGCTTGTTCCTTCTAATTATCCAAACTCCTCTCCAATACTCCTGGACAAGTTTCCGATTGAAGTTAGGTGAGGAAACACAGCCTTGTGGTTTCTTTGTTACTATTATTATTACAGCATTGGCGTTTTGTCTTTTCTCATTGTTAATTCTGAGTTTTCTCATATGTTCATAGGGGGAAATAGTTAAACTAAATAATAATTGGTTTCCTAAGTGAACTGATTCAATATGGTAATATATTCATTGACATAGATCATTCTATATATTTCATAAATATTTTATGACAATGCATTTGTTGTAAAAAATAGTGGAGCCTAAACTGAAGATCCTATTGCATATAGTCATGTTTGTTAAATCTTGAGTACTTGATGCAGAGTATAAGAAACTTAACAAAGAATAAATTCAAAGTAGCGGCGATATTTGAAACTCGGCATGATTTTAAAGAGAAACTGATAGTAACCACATATAGTCATATTTCTAATATCATTAGTCTGTCTTTATTATTATTTTTATGTTTCCTAGGATTTTTAAGGTTAAGGGTATTTTGGTAATTTGCAGAATTTCTGAATATCGGTTGTGTGGATCGCCCATGGGTCGTCTTATGGGTCAAGCTATTTAATTAGTCTTTGTTTTTGTTTCTTGTTTACTCTTAGATTAGTTTTGGAAGTCAAAGATATTATGATAGTTCCTTTTTTGGTTATAGTTGGTTTAGGAAGTCTCTTAGTTCTGTATAAAGTCATATAATGTAATGCTTATACTTTAATAAAGTTGATATTTTAGAGAATTTGAAAAGCTTTGAAGTTTTCGTGGGGATTGTGTGATGCAACCCTAACCTTAGGTGTGATGCCTAAGAGATTCTAGGAGTGATTCTTAGACCTATCTTCTTCTTCTTCTCTTCTTTCTTCTTCTTTTCTGTTTTAGTTTACTGTTCATAGCCTTATAACATCCCCTAAACAGTGCTAAAAATCCCATCTTTTCATGCTTGAACTCTTACTTATTTATTACCCTAAACAAACCCTACTTGTTCCCTATATTCTTTTTGCAATTGCAGCCATAAAATCCAATTAAAATCAGCCTCAAAAGCCTAGATTTGCTGCTGTCCCTAATTGTCCTACATCAGTACTATACAAGATTTTGATTAAGCCTAATTTCTAGTGTTTATTATAAATTGAACTCGCTTGACGTTTTGGGAATGACAAGGGGTCAGCGTGTTAAAAAAATAGGCAAGGACATGCCCTCTACCATGACCCATAATTAACTCTTGTTACTGAAGGATCATTGCATTATGGTTGGCAATCGTGTCATGTTGCCAGTGTTCATGTCGTGTCATTTCAGGTCGTGCGTAATTCCTTCAACACTATGCTTTTGTTTCATGTTTCATGTTTCATGTTTTATGTTTTATGTTTTCGGTTTCATTTTTTTTTTTTTGGAAACTAGAAATGGAAACGTGTTTGGTATATTGTTTTCATTTTAAAAAAACATTGGAATTGATTCCAAAATTTTGGAAAACTAAGAAAAAGTGTTTTCAAAACGGCTTTTCATTCTTCTCTCACCTACCACCTTCGGCCACTGCTGGTGGCCAACTGGCTGGTTACCGCCGACATCCAGGGAGCTTTGGCCGGCCACCAGCGAGCTCTGACAACTCCCCAGCGTCTGACCGGTCACCGTTGTGACCTTTGGCCACCTTTTGGTGGCCCTCAGACCACCCCTACCGCCGGTCACCACATCCATCCACCCTCCACTGTTGGGCACTGCCTCCAACAACTCATTAAACATATTTCTCTATTTTTATTTTCATTTGCTTTCCAAACATTTTTGTACACCAAACAAGTTTTCTGTTTTTGTTTTTTACAAGAAAAACTGTTTCTTTTTCTTTTCTTTTTTTTAGCAAAAAACTAATAACTTATTCATAGCAATGTTTAATTTCAATTCATTTCCGTTATCTCCAATTTCAAAAATGTAAACCTATTTATTTAATTTTTGTTTACTAGATTGGCTCCAAAATAGTAAATGGAAAGATCAGATTGTCCCAAACGGAATATTTTTTATTCAACTAGCAAAGATATTTAACATATCATGGCACCCAAAAATTGCCTGGACAATAAAAAATGAAAAAAAGTACTTTTATTTTCGTAATTTTTTATTGTTCTTCCGCCCTTCATCCTCCAATCCACCCTGATCACCTGTCATCACCACACTTACATTGTTGGCATGGTATACGTTGTTGGGTTCATTTCTTAACTAGTCAAGTTTTGGGAACAATTGGTCATCATCTAATATGGTATCATTACTTTAGGTCTAGTTGGGCTTGGGTTCTAATATTGCTATTTGTGTTTGTTTCCAATTTATGTATGTTATTGCTAATCTATTAACTGTGTTTGTGCACCCTATTTTGGTTCACGTCACGTTATTTGTGATTGCTCTTATTTATACATGTTATTCTTGATCTTTTTGTGCAAATGTTAATGCACTTTGTTTAGTTCAGCTTGTTTGCCTCTCCTTGTGCGAAACAAGATCGCGTATGTGGAGTTATGGAGGAGTGTTAAGACAGGATAATATACATTATTGGGCCCATTAGCCAACAACTCACGTGGCCACCATCATTGCCCACCACCACTGCACAGCCCTAATTACCAATGCTCCATAGACAGAATAGATTAATGGAAAAACCTTCAGCACCTCTGCACTTCATACACTAAATTACCATCAGGTCCCACTGCTGCTGCACTTCCTACATCACTGTTGTAATCATTGCCCACAACATGACAAAATCCTGCTCAACCCTCTTTTTCTTAGCTATTTTTTTCCATAATTGTTTCCGGGTATCATTCTCCACGTTTCTCTAATTTAAAATCCATCAGAATTGACATACATGCACAAATGGATAGTCCATTGTCTGCTTCTCTTATCTTCTTCAAGTGTGCATATTTGAGTAGTGCATCAAGATGATTAACCAAAGTTAGTCAGAAATTTCACCTTTCATTGTGCATCAATTATTGTGCATCAATTTTCGCTTTGCATTTGAACATCTGTTTATATATATATGGGAATTTGCTTTGACAGTAAGGAGTACGAAGATCTATCAGTGAAGGCAAAGTCAAGGTTTAGCATCTCTCTCCGAAACCTTTCCCAACCTATGTCACTTGGAGAGATAGCTAGGATTTGGGATGATTGTGCTCGTGCAGTTATTTCAGAGTATGCACAACAGAGTGGTGGAGGGAGCTTCAGCTCCAAATATGGAACTTGGGAGAACTACTCCTTGACTGCTGCATAATATCCTTTTGGTATGTATGAATGGGGCTCTTTGGTGCAACTTATATGAGCTTTTTATAGCCTTTTTTAAAAATTAAAAAAAAAAAAAATTTATTTTGGGAGTCTGTTTGTCGTAGTATCTACTTATAGTTTATTAGGTAGTAATAGATTAATTAAGCAGGAAAAAAAAAAAATGTGTGAAAGCTGAGGGGTGTGCTTTTGGCTTACAAGAAGCTGCACCAAACAAACGACTCGTGTTCATGTTCATTTTCAATCTTTGAAATGGGGAAGAATTGTTGATGGCTTTGATGCAGAAAATGGTCGGAGCTGCTGCTGCTTGGTCCTACTGTGAGATGTAGTCTTGTTTGGGGTTTTGCATATATGTGGAAGGAGCACACACCCACTGCTTTAGGTATTTTGTATAATTGAGAGCTTGGAATGTTGTTGGCATAGTGTATCATAAAGGTAAATTATATGTTGTTGCTGTAACATGTTTTGTGCTATATAGGGTTTCTTTTCGCACAGCTCACCATAAATATTTGCCGTTGTGTGTTTGTTGCCAGTCATTTGTCCTATCATGTCCGAGGTGGTTTACTCCGTGCCTTGTTTTAAGTGGATACTGTGACTGAATTTATAATCTTGGACTTAAAATGGATTTTCTTTTTCTTTTCATTTGCTTTTGTTTTTTTTTTAAATTTATGTTGGTTGGCCTAGTAGTAGTTGAGACAGATTGAAAAGGTGCATTTCTTTGATTTGGAGAATCCATCCAGTATCATTGATGACTTCTTGTCGATTTGCCCCTTTTTCAATTTATTTATTTATTTTCCATGTAATTTGTAGTTCATCAAAATTATGCATTCAAAAAAATTTAGAAATTTTGCATTAGCAGAAAAAGATTTTTTGGGGAAATGGTAAAATAATAATAATGATGAGGATTTGACTTTTCTCAAGTTGGTCATCTCAACTCTTGATAGAGTGTTTGAGCTTAGTAGGGACATTTTGGGGACGATTTTAGTAATTCAAACAGTTCACATTCATGTAATAAATTAAGATATAATCAGAGATGAGTAATTATATGTTTGAATTAAATTTGTATTACAACAAATGGATGGTTATTCTTGAAATTATATTTGTATTCATTTTTTAAATACAAAGATGATTCAAACATATAGATATCGATGTTTAATCATTTTATTTTTCGTATAAATATTTTACTTAACGAGACTTAGAAAGTAAACGATTCAAATCATCAAAATCGATTCTAAATTAGGCTTACAAAACCTGAACACTATCTCAACTTGAGAGAAGCCAAACATTGTTTGCGTTGTGTTTATAATTAGTTTATTTTGTTTACAGCTGCTATTTGAGTTTAGGCAAACACGGGTTACGGTCAATTGTGATATCTGGACATGTTAGGTATGGCTAATTCTATTTACACACTACCAAATTGCTCAATACACCATTTTTTTCAATACACACCACACATTTTCAACTGTTTGATTTCTTCTCACTTTACACCATCACTTATCCAAAAATCCTAAATTATCCTCAGCTTCTTTTAACTCTCTATCTCAAACCCTAACTCTAACTACCATTGTCGTCGGCTGCCACCCCTTTCAGTCGCTGCCCCTCCCTTCCCGTCTTCGCCTCCTCTTGTTGTCGCCTCTACCCTCTCTAGCCTTCATTATCTTTTTTCTAAACAAATGATGTTAAACCCAAGATATAGGGTTTGAGGTGGCGCCAATCACGTTTTCCAATAGCAGTAGAGGAAGGTAGCCCAAGTTGCAGCGGTGGTTGAAAGGGGGGCGGCGCAAGTTGCAATCGAAGAAGAAGAGCGACAAGAAGAAAAGAGAGAGAGAGAAGGGAAGAAGAAGAGAGAGAGATAGAGAGATAACCTTTTGTTGCGATGGCGATTGCATTATCGTTTCACACTTTGACACCCCCTGCCATAGCCAACCTTGTAAACATTATTTTCAGAACATGAAAATTTATGCTTTGGATCATCTACCATGTGAATCATCAAGAAATCAAGACAAAAACTTACCCGAATCCATCGATGAATGGTTAAACGGAAGCGTGATTATCAATAAACCCTTTGTTATTGATTTTGTTATTGTCTTCTAATCCTTTCCTTTACCAGTGCCTTATCAATTCTCCTTGAGAGGAAATAGAAGAAGAATGGCAGTTCTTCACCATTGGCAGGATTAAGGACCATAATAATATAAGGTTGAAATAGGTTTTTCAACAACACAACCGTGTGGCAGTTTTTTTATGAAAACCAACTTAACCAATATGTTTTAATTTCTATTTTTGCCCCTCATAGAAATAGAAATTACTTAACTAATATCTACACATTAGGTCCATGACACATATACTCTTAAGCCTATTAACTAAATTGAATCACTTAAATTGCAGGCTTCTTATAAATGATAACACCACATTTAAATATGTGGTCCCATTGAGACATTATCTAACAATCTCTCACTGGACCACATATGTAACCTGAAAAATGTGCTTAACTTTAGTGAGCTTTGAAATTTGTTATCATGACCTGAGGATATCCAAACAATCTTGTCCATTAACTATATTGATATAGGATCAAAGCGGTCTTCGTTACATTAATCGTAACTCGACCCACCAATGGTCACGTATACCAATACAGCTAAATAACATAGATCAATCATGGATGAATAGCATGGAAATTACATGTAATGTGATCCATACATGCCTATTTCTAACTGGTCCTACTTAACTTTATTGGGATCAATACTTCACAATACGTAATAGAGTAATAAACTGAGCACTTCATTTCTGCAAAAATTAATCTAATTACATAGATAAAACTCAAGGCTGACATAAAGCAGTAATATAAATACAAACTCCCACTAAACCAAAATATTCTCAAATAGAACAACACCCATATGAGCAGTGTGCTCATGAAAGACCTTGGGTGGAAGTCCCTTCGTAAGTGGATCCGCTATCATGGAGTTTGTCCCAATGTGCTCTATGGAAATCTGTCCACTCTGCACTCTTTCTTTTACAACTAGGAACTTGATATCAATATGCTTTGATCTTGTCGAGCTCCGGTTGTTATTGGAATATAAAACTGCAGACTTATTGCCACAATATAACTTAAGTGGCTTTTCAATGCCTTCCAAAATACGCAACCCAGTGACAAAATTCCGCAGCCATATCCCTTGGTTTGATGCCTCATAACATGCTACAAACTCTGCAGCCATGGTGGATGAAGCTATGAGCGTCTGCTTTGCAGACCTCCAAGAAATTGCTCCGCCAGCTAACAGATAAATATAGTCTGATGTGGATTTCCTACTGTCTTGGCATCCAGCAAAATCGGAGTCGGAATATCCAATGACCTTTAACTTATCCGATCTCCTATATGTGAGCATATATTCCTTTGTTTTCTGTAAATATCGCATAACACGCTTGACTGCTTTCCAATGATCCATGCCATCTTCTGCATTTCTTGAATTTCAAGACTGTTCTTCGGGCATTGGCTGAGACTAAACTTGTCTCCCTTAGCAACCGGGGTTTCACCTGATTTACAATTTTGCATGCCAAATCTATTGAGTATTTTTTCGATATAGCTCCTTTGTGATAATCCCAGAATACCCCGAGAACGATCTCGGTGTATTTCGATTCCTAATACAAAGGAAGCATCACCAAGATCTTTCATTTCAAAATTCTTAGATAGAAATCTCTTGGTGTCATGCAATAAGTTTATACCGTTTGTGGCAAGCAATATATCATCAACATATAAAACCAAAAATATGTGTTTACTCCCACTGAACTTGTGATATACACATTCATCAACAACATTAGTTTCAAAACCATACGAAGTGAGAACTTTATGAAATTTGAAGTACCACTGACGAGAAGCTTGTTTGAGTCCATAGATGGATTTAGTCAATTTGCAAACCATATTCTTTGGGTCTCCTGACACAAAGTTTTCTGGCTGCACCATAAAAATTGTTTCTTTAATGTCACCATTAAGAAAAGCTGTTTTGACATCCATCTGATGCAACTCAAGATCAAAATATGCAACAAGCGCCATAATTGTCCTAAAAGAATCTTTCGAAGAAACTGGAGAGAAAGTTTCTTTAAAGTCAATTCCTTCATTTTTAGTAAAGCCTTTGGCTACAAGACGTGCCTTATACCTCTCCACATTACCATTTGAATCCCTTTTGGTTTTAAATATCTATTTACAACCTACAGGCTTCGCACCAACTGGTAATGAGACAAGTTCCCATACTTTATTGTCTTGCATAGACTTATATTCTTCATTCATGGCTTCTATCCATTTATGAGAGTTGGAACTTTCCATGGCTCGACGAAAGTTGATTGGATCATCTTTCGACATTCCATTTTATACCTCATGTTCCTGGAGATATACAATATAATCATCCGAAATTGCAAATCTCCTCTCTCTTGTGGATCGCCTTAATGGCACAGGTTCTTGAGGTTGAGGTTGTAGAGTTTGTTCCTTAGGAACAATTACCTTATCTTGAATGAGGGATTGAACTATATTATCTTGAACAACATTGTCTGGTTGAGGATCCGAAGTTACTTCTCGAGCAATGACAGGTATAGGAACCTGTAATTGGTCAAAAGTAGTAGTAAGAAGTGGGATTACTCCTGTTTCCTCCTCAAAGACAATGTCTCTAACTAGATTTCTCCCCCCAAACTCAACATCCTCAAAAAATGTTGCAATTCCCGTCTCAAATATTGACCTATTTGTGGGATCATAAAACTTGTAACCCCGTGATCGTTCGGCATAGCCAATAAAGTAGCTGCTAATGGTTTTAGAGTCTAATTTTCGTTCATGAGGTTTATAAGGCCTCGCCTCAGCAGGACACCCCCACACATGCAAATGTTTTAGACTAGGCTTTCGCCCAACCCAAAGCTCATAAGGTGTTTTTGCAGGTGCTTTAGTTGGCACCCGATTTAAGATATAAGTTGCTGTCTTTAGAGCCTCACCCCAGAGGGACTCTGGTAAAGTAGAATGACTGATCATACTTCTTACCATATCCTTAAGAGTTCGGTTTCGTCTCTCAGATACACCATTTATGCTAGGTGATCCTGGCATGGTGTATTGTGGGACGATTCCACATTCTTCCAGGTATTTTGCAAACGGTCCTGGACGTTGTTCACCTGATCCATCATATCTGCCATAGTATTCACCACCACGGTCAGACCTGACACTTTTAATCCGTTTGTTGAGTTGTAACTCAACTTCGGCCTTAAATTTTTTGAATACGTCCAAAGACTGTGATTTCTCATGGATAAGAAATAGATACCCATATCTGAAATAGTCGTCTATGAATGTGATAAAATATTGTTGACCATTCCAAGACGCCATAGGGAATGGTCCACAAATGTCCGTATGAATTAATTGTAAGACATTTGTAGTCCTATGGGCACCATATTTCTTCATTTTGGCCTGTTTTCCCTTGATACACTCAACACAGACATCAAAATCTGAAAAATCAAGAGAGTCCAAAATTCCATCAGACA